AGAGGGCCCAAAGAGACCTTCAAGAGGCCCCTGAGTTCCCTCGAGACCCCCCCAAGAGGCCCGAAGAAGCCCCCCAAGAGGCCCCCAAGATGGCCCACGAGGCTCAAAAAATGCACCACCGAGCACGCAGGCAAGCGCTTACGATGCAACTAAGATAAGAGGGCCTCAAGGGGAGTTCAAAGAGGGGCCCAAGAGCGGGGTCATGAACAGCCATTTCGAGCCGTCGGCCCCGAGACGCCGATGACTGCTCACGCAACACTTCACGGAAACCACCACCACCCATCAGGGCCGCAATGGCAACGAACACGCCGCGGGCAAACGCCCGCGATGAAATAGTCTGGGACAACGAAATGAAAGAAGCCATTACATGAAATATGAAAAGTACATGCGTTCCCGAGGCCACGATGCTTCTCAAAACACAGTCGACCTCCGCTAAGGCCACGACCCCTTGCACCAAACACTTGATCCGCGCTCCCGAGTCCACGATCCCTTGAGAAAAAAACAAGTGGCCCGCGCACCGGAGAACGCGATCCTTGGTGACAAAAACAATCGATCCACGTTCACGCGGTCACGAACCCTGGTTACACAATTCTGGACTCGCGCCGAGCTTCCAAGAAATCCGAAGCAGCTGGGGCCTTCAAGATCGCACAATATGCTTCCAAGACGACCCAAGATGAGCCCAAGGCTTCCAACGATGGCCTCATGACGGCCCAAGAAGCATCCAAAACGGCCCAAGAAGGCCGCAAGAGGGTCCCCTTCAGAGCCCGCAGAGGCCAAACTCATGGATTCCCTGAGAGTGTTTGAAAGAGTTGGGCGCGTTCACCTTTTCGGGCTTCTTTCAGCTCTAGACGGCCGCAGAGGCCTGCAAGATGGTCTCCAAATTGCTGAATAATGCTCCACTGCGGCCTCATGACAGCCCAAGGGGGCTTCTGGAGACGGCCCAGGACGGTCCCAAGACACACCCAAGCTGGCTCAAGAGGGCTTCTGGAGATACCCAAGACGGCCTTAGAGAGCTCCCCGACGGCCCAAGACGGCTGCAAGAGCCTCCCCAGACAGCCAAGAGAGCCCCAAGACGCGGCTCACGAAAGCCCCAAGACGGCCAACGAGGGTCCCAAGACGGTTCAAAACTGCTCTAATGACCAACGACTGCCCCGCAGGAGCTTAAGAAAGGACGGGCGACGACGACGACGACGGGAAGACAACCCCCCGAGCAGGCAGCTCTGTACTTCCCTGCAAGTATCCGTCGGCGTGGATCCCCAGAAGACCAAGCCCCCTCCCTGGGGACATGGCTTCATCCTGGATTGCTCTTTAGCGGTCCCAGGGCCCGAGAACGGGTCCCGGATGCCGAAAAAGGAAGACACGTATGCCGCAATTCCTGGCGCGGAGCGACCCAGGCATGCGACGTCCTGCTTTCTTCAGTGCGCCGCCCCCGCAAAGTCCCGACATTCTCCCCGGGACAGGTTTTTCATCCCGAGTCGTCTTTTGACGGTCCCAGGGCCCGGGCAGAGCCCCCAGAGGGCCAGAACGACCAAAAGCCTCTCGTCCTGATGTCTTAATGACGCGAGAATGACTGGGCAGGGGCCCGGGGGGTCACAAAAACATGGGCTATCCTGGTGCACGTCCGGGATAGCATCTCAAGGCGGATCCGGCCGTGGCGACGAGCAGCCGCCAGGAGGCCCACACGCGTCCCAGACCATCGGAAATCGAGCCTCCCTGCTGCCCGTCTCCTCCTCCTCGTCCTCCTCCTCCTCCTCCTCCTCCTCCTCTCTTCCTTCTCCTCCCCCCGTCCTCCTCCTCCTCCTCCTCCTCCTCCTCCTCCTCCTCCTCCTCCTCCTCCTCCTCTTCCCCTCCCCTCCTCGTTCTCGTTCCTCCTCCTCCACCACCTCCTCCTCCTCCTTCAACTCCTCCTCCTCATCCTCCAACTCCTCCTCTTCCCCTCCTGCCCCCCCCCCCCGCGCGTCTCGCCGGCGCCCCCTGGGCGCGTTCTGGCCAGCAATCTCGAAGCGGACCCAACCGTTGCGACGAAAAGGCCTAGAACAGGCCAGAGACGCCGCAAACCCTCGGTCCTCGATCCGCGAACTTTGCGGCCCGCGAAGCTCATTGTCGCCCTCCATATCAAATCCAACAGCGAGGGGCAGCGATAGGGGGGCAGCTCAGAAGAAACATCGACCTGGAATCGGCGATACATCTACGATTGCGAATGTCTATCAGGCCTCTATCGGCGATAAACAAGTGGCACGCGTGCCATGGCTCTTGCACAGAAAGGAAGAGGGAGGAGGCGAAGGGGGCGCGCTGGCTGGTGGGCGGGGCGGCGGATGGGGCGCTCGAGATTGGGGGAGCGGTGCCGCGCCGAAAAAAAAGTCGGGGCGGAGGGCGCGCGCTGGCTGGCGGGTGGGGCGGCGCAGAGGGTGCGCTCGGGATGGGGGGGCGGTGCCGTGCTGAAATAAATGAGTCGGGGCGGAGGCGGCGCGCTGACTGGTGGGTGGGGCGATGCGGAAGGGCCGTGCTGGATGTGGGTGGGGGTGGCGGTGCCGTGCCGAAATAAAAGGGTCGGGGCGGAGGGGGCGGCGCCGCGCCGAAGGAAAGGGGTCGGGGCGAGCGGGGCGCGTTGGCTGATGCGGAGGGGGGCGCGGGCCGGATGGGGCGCACTGGCTGGTGGGTGGGAGGATGCGGAAGGCCTATAGCAATGGGTTTGGGCGGAGGGGAGCGCTGGCTAATGGATGGGGGATGCGGAAGAAACGCGCGGGAGGGGGAGCGGTGCCGAGCCGAAATGAAAGCGCCAGGGCGGGGGGGGGCGCTCTGTCTGGCGGGCAAGGGGATGCGGAGGGGGCGCGCAGGATGGGAGGGGGGTCTGTGTCGTGCCGCCCAAAAAAAGGGTCGGGGCGGTGGGGGCGCGCTGGCTGGCGCGCGGGGCGACGCGGAGGGGGCGCGCGGGATGGGTGGGGCGGTTCAATGCCGAAATAAAAGCGTCGGGGCGGAGGGGGTGCACTGGCTGGCGATTGGGAGGGCGCAGAAGGGGGCGCGCGCGATGAGGGGGGGGATGCGGTGCCGTTACGATATGAACAGGGTCGGGGCGGAGGAGGCGGTGCCGTGCAGAAGTGAGGGGGTCGGGGCGGGAAGGGCGCGCGGGCTGGTGGGCAGGGGGATGCGGAGGGCGCGCGCGGGATGGGAGGGGGCGGCGCCGTGCCGACATAAAAGGGGTCGGGGCGGAGGGGGCGCGTTGGCTGGCGGACGGGGCGATGGAGGTGGCGCTCGGGATGGGCAGGGCGGTGCCGCGCCGAAAAAAAAAAGTCGTCGGGGCGGAGGGGGCGCGCTGGCTGGTGGGCGGGGGCGATGCAGACGGGGCGCGCGGGATGGGGGGGGTGCCGAAAGGTCGGGGCGTAGGGGGCGCTCTGGCTGGCGGGCGGGGTGATGCGGAGGTGGCGGGTAGGATGGGAGAGCGGGTGGCTGTGTCGCGCCGAAATGAAGGGTCGGGGCGGGGGCGCGTTGGCTGGTGGGCGGGGCGATGCGGAAGTGGCGGGCGGGATGGGGGGGGCGGTGCCGCGCCGAAATGAGGGGGTCGAGGCAGAGGGGGCGCGCTGGCTGGTGGGTGGGGGATGCGGGAGGTGCGCGCGAGGTGGGGGGGCGGCGCCGTGCCGAAATAAATGTGGCCGGGGCGGAGGGGGCGCACTGGCTGGCGAGTGGGGCGACGCAGAGGGGCGCTCGGGGTGGGGGGGCTAGGGCGGTGCCGCGCCGAGGTCGGCGTCGGGGTAGGGCGGAGGGGGCGCTCTGGCTGGCGGGCGGGGAGATGCGGAGGT